GGTGCACGAGTTTCCGGCGGATTGTTGCCTCAGGTCTGTGAGTGATGTCAATCGCAAATTCGCCCATTAGTCTTGTGAATGCTTTAGACAAATAAGATATATGCGGCACTGCAAGTCAGCTTTGAAGTTTTGGTCGACCCTTCGGTTTTCTTCCGCTGGTTTCCGGCCTGCATTTTTGACCATATTTTGGGTATCCATTGACTTTGAAGAGTATCCGCAGAGGCCGGACATCAGCCTTCTTGCCAATTGGCTCCATAGAATGGATTTCTACACGCCGTTAGAGTGTTCTCATGCAGCTGCGTTTATGCGAAGTAGGATAGTCGCCATGACCACTTAGATTACGGGAGGTAAATATCACTTTCCTATAAACCAGTAATTAAAGTTACTCATCGCGTTTTTTGCATACGAACACTTCAAGAAACGGCAACTGACAGCCTTTTGCATTCTCTTCTATGAAATGTACGTCTGGGAATTTTGAGTTTGGATGTTGCCAGAATTCCCTAATTCTGGCCCGACTGATAATTACAAATGCGCCATCTGCATATCGCACAGGGAGTCGTGGTCCATAGTGATCAGAAACCAGTGCCTCAAATCGCTGAGCCAGTAGCTCAGCAATCTGGTTGAACAAGGGCGACCCCACCGGTATGCTCTTAATTTGTTCGTAAGCAGCTCCACCGAAGGTAAAGAAACTCCTCATGCAGTGTTCTGAAGGATAAATAGGATGCCCCATTTTTTATTTTTCAAGTGCCTCGTAACGGTGCACTTTTTATGAGGTTTGCGTGGTTTCAACTGCCAGATGTTGCGGGATGGGGATAAAAAGTGACGTAAAATCGAAAGATACCATCAAGTTTAATTTTAAGTCAAATAAATCCGGCTTCCCTTGAGTCACTCATTTGAGTGGACGGTCGTTTCAGGGTCCTGAGTTAGAAACCTGACACGCTGAAGCAGTCATTTAACACGGCCAAAACTCGGGGTCCTTTTTAAAGAAACGTCCGCCGTGGGGGGATTTCATTGTTTGTGAACCGTGGGAAGGCCACGGAATTTCGCGATCTCTGCATCCTTTGGTTTCAAATTTCGCCAGTCAGTCTGTGCTATTGCTTTTTATTTCCGGAGGCATTCCAGACATTTTTCTATATTTGTCTCTAAGGAAAGCGGTAGTCTTATTATCCAAATTCCACGAGTTTTGGCTTGGTTCTCCTTGTCCAATACAACTACTGAATGTCCTTTGTCGGCTGTATTACAGTGATCTCGTCGGCCTTAAACGTGTGGAATGCTCTGCCTTCCGTTTTTTCAAATCTTTTTGCGTTTTCTGTGGGATATCAATCTATAGGACGTTTGCCGCCTTAGCATATTTCTGCCCCTTTTATTAATTTGGGTTCAACAACTGATGGATTCTAAAACTGCAATGAAGTCAAGTGGTTCGGCATCCGTGATATTGAAGCAGGTATCAAGGCTCAGAACTTTTGCTTGCTCTGCAGTTATTTGTTCGAAAGTAAGATTGTGCAAAATAGAGATTTTAATTCTTGTTACGCAACCTGGACAATTTCTGTGTAAATTTGGCGTCACGTATATCGCGAATTCGCCTGAGACTGGAAAAGTGCTATGGTGCGGATTTTTTGCCAGCCCTTGTCAAAGTATCGCTGAAGATTGGGCTCTTTCTTCTCCAATTTTTGCCTTTTACTTCTGCAGATGGTAATCCTAGAATGGAAATTGAAGCAGTCTGCGTCAGTTTTAATACTGTTCGTCTGCCTAGTTCTATGTGTATAAAGTATTGAATAGTGTCCTACTGTCTCGTAAAAGCGACCAGACCATACTGCCAACAATCAAGGGTCGGCATAACGAAGAAACGAACAGAATCGAACTAATTCTTTTTGTAGTCTTAACGAAAAACATTATTCTACAGATATAAAAACAATAAAATTAGTCCAGCAAGCGAGCTCGAGTCGTTGAAACGCACATCTCGACAAAAGTTATTTTGAAAATTGGTTAGCGGCATGAATGTTACATGACCACAGAACGTGCAGTTATGTTTATTCATTAGCTGAAGTACTAGAGGGGACTCTCCTAGTTCTGACCAAGATATCTCAAAATGCAATTTAAGACACTTAAGTCGTAATTATACTAGGCATTATAAAAATCATCTTAAAAAGTCGGTCGAATGGGAAAAGGCCGAGTTAACAGAGTAATTGCCATTATTTCTAAAGGTGTTTAGAATCAAAAATTGTGCTGTTGGTATTTTCATTTCGGTTTTACTACGCCGAAATTCAAATGTACGGAAAGAACAGTTATGCAACTTGACTCCCAGGGTTGGCCTGTCCGGCGTCGTTCCGTTGAATTTTAGGTCTTTTAACTCATAATACGTATCAATAACACATATCTACGTTAGCGATTAATAAAATTATTCGTTGTACAGTTTGTTTGCATGTTCGCTATGTAAATATTCGACCTCGCCGTATACTGCAGACCATAGAAACAAGCTCTTAGTGCAATTCTGGCGACTCTGGCCGTTATGCTGCCATAATGCTGACACAAATTGGTCACAGCCATGCCAGCATAAGGTTAACATATGCCGAGTCGGTGCTCAAGTCGAATTCCCTCGCCCGCAGCCTTGTCGAACTTGCCCGGGTAGCGACGTAGGACGCGCTAGCCACTTCCTCTATGCCTAGCTCCACTTTTAAAAGTAGAAGCTGTCTGACTGCTCTTTCCCTTTATTCGTAAGCTGCCTAGATCGCCCACAATACATTTCCACTTGTTTCTTTTGATTAGCGAGAACGTCACCAGTCCCTTTGAAGGCATTTGGCGCCTCATAAGCGAAGTCAGCCTCCTTGTTGTTTCTTCCGTTGTTCCACATACGGTAAACTAAAGAAATCCTGCGGAAAAACTGCTAAAGATTGTGTGCGTCGCGGGGAAGTTACGCTTTACCATCTCTCGTGTAATTCTGGATTTGCACGTTGCCATTACGGCTCACATCTTTACTCTTGTAACCTTGACGACACATGCGTCACTGATCTGGTGTAGAAAAGCACCAGAGGAAATATTTAAGTAACAAAGCGTACGAGTGCTGCCTGCTAACGAACTTGCATCTGTAAGGGAAACGTCACGTTGTATGGAGAAGGCAGGGGCCCTTCGGTGTTAGTACTGTTTGTTCCGCAGACACATCCAGCATCCCGTTTGTAATCCCACTGAATGCCCCTCTGATGACTGTTAGACACATGGTCGCTACTTTAAAGGGATCTGCTGAAGGTAAGTGGCATGCTTTAACCTACCAAGCAGTATTTCCTTGGAACGTTTATTGTCGGCAGGCCGTTGGCGATAGTGACGACCGCAGTGGCGGTGGTGGCGATGGTACCATAAGGACGCAGAGGTGACGTAATGAAGCGGACTTTTATTTAATGCCCCAATACCGTTATTATTATGCCGCATGTTGGAGGGTCCAAATTGACAGTGGAAGGGATAATGCATTACTCCGGCCACCCATTGGGGACTAGCTGACTAAAATCAAGCTAAGCATTTTATTACAGTTTAAGCAAAGACGATTTACGAGGTTCGGCTGGAATTGGCTGTGCGGTTATACCCTCCTACCTAATATTTCAGGGGCCGACGTAACAGAGGTCATACTGTTGTCTGATTTTTACTTTCGGTAATCTACGGTCGGACATGATTTTGGACAGCGAATCGGTCGGTCCTTACAACAGATGCGGTTAGTATGAACCACTTACCACTTCAAACCACTCCATGTCTGTGAGGAGTACGCCGTAGGTATCGATGCATCGCACTTGCTGTGGACATGCGTATTCACGTGTAACTCTTTTCTACGCAGACGTGCCTTTGATATATTCGGTCCTTATACCGGAAAAAAATCGCCGAAGTCGACAACACGAACGAAGTAGTTAGCACCGTAGGAGCCGCCATCACAACGTGTAAGGCCTCTACGAGTATACGTTGTTCGTTTATGCGGACATATCGATCGGCAGCCACAGTTCCGGTCGTTAGTAAGTTGACTACTGTCGGTAGCATGGGAGCATGCTGCAGTGGAAAGACGACAACATGCGTCCGTGTTTGCGTTATGCGGTATGCAGTAATCCCTCCATTTTCCTTCCCAGGTATCATGCTAGGCTTCTGCAAGGTCCCCTTCACTCGACCCATGTCAGTCAACTTCATTGGGAGGTGTATAGTGCTGCGAATATTTCACACTGTCTAACCTACACTATGCAGACACGCAAATTGATTACGAGAGTGTTTAAGCGGAGCGCAACAGTAAGACAATTGTTTGACATGCTGATTGCTGCCAACATTATACTGCGATCATAACCGTACCCTATGAATCTACTCCCATCCGCCAGCCCGCCCGCCTCCTGCTTGCCAGTGACACGGCGTGCCAGTGAATGCAAACATCGGTAAAAGTGACTGCCAGGCGGCCGCACTCAAAGGTCCTACCCACGCCACGTCGATACCGTCCACACATATGCACGCGCGGGAATTCGCCAGCTTCGTCATTCAACACTTTTTACTCACTGATTGTTCAAGGCCATGGCGTGAATTATTGTCCTTCGGGCCACTCCATCGCGTGAGTCTCTCGGCCAACCAGTGTGCGGACGTTTCTCTGGCACAATGTCCACGCTCGTTATTAAAGTTAGGAATTTGCCACAAAACCATTTTCCCCCACTGAGTGTGCAAGGAAGGGTCGTCGTCAAGTATTTCATAGTCAGTCTCCGAATAGCCTATTATCGTTCTGTGCTTATCTCCCTAATTCCATGTATTTCTTTATGCTTGACACCATGTTACAAGGACGTAGTGCACAAGTGGTGAATCGCCTAGACGAATCTAGACTACTATTTTTTTTGTTTTATGGAAAACTGAGGCAAAATAGTCGGCACGATTTCATGAAAAGGCAAAAGCAACTAGCCGAACTTGCCTGGGGTCTTCCATAGCCTTATTTTTCATGCGGCTGCCAGTGAGGAGAAATTGTTGATTTGTTCATATACGGAATACCCTCTGGCATGAGGGATCAGCTACGTCTCTTGCTTATATCCCGCCATTCGTAACTGTACCTTCCTATAAGCTTACTTTCCTAGCCTTTCAAAGTTACTGGCAAGTTATGTGAAATATTTCAAGTACGCTACCAAAACAGGATGCCCATATGGAAAATTATCAAATGCATCATAATCTGACCTTGTCATGGTTGTAAACTTGACAGACAAACATCAACAAATGGAACACACCGAGAGTACGGAAGATCCCGAAGCTTGAAACTGCGATCATCCTTTAATTAATGAACGACGCCGTTGAAGTATCATAGCAACAGTGCGCTTTGCGGAGGAGGCTGAAAATAAGGTTGTCTTCAAACATTTATGCCGCATGTTTCGGTGGTCAGGATCGATATAACTGTGTTCCGTCCATTTAGTTTCTTTGATTGCCCCTTTGGATCCTACACCTACGGAGAGAGGGTGTGCTCCACTTTAAACATTCATTCTAATGTTTTTTTGCGACCAGTGGGCCTCATCGTTTGTAGGCATGCAGTAGTATGGCTGTGGGGAATTTTCGCATTTATTGGCTCACTTGTGTGCACTCTATTTAAATCCGGGGGAACTCTTTCACAAACTGGATCGTTTTTCTCTTTTTTAGGTCCTTACTTTTCTCTTGTACTTGCCTTTTAGTAGTTCTTCAAGAAACAATAATGCTGACCCGAGTGGCTTGTCGTTCAGTTCGAAATTTCACCAGTTTGCTTCGACCTTCCTCTTGTTTACCTCTTACCACTCCTCGGAATTGGAAATCAGGACTTCGAAGTCCTGCTGAGGATGACATTCTGCGCGAATCCTCAGCTGTCAGTTTACTTGCACGGCACAAAGTTGTTAGGCTGGTCACTGAAGATCTTCCGAAGGAATTTTCCTGTCTAATCTCTCCTGGCGCAGATTTCGAATTTGCCGAAATTCCAAGTGACAAACTTAAGTCTTTAATTCGAAAGACGGGGTTTTCTCTGCTCTTAGTAAGTGTTAATTAATTGCATACCTGTTTCATCCTAATATCCACCTGGTAGCATTACTTTAAGTATGGTCGAACTCTCAAATAACAGTAGGTGGTTTCGAAATCTTCATTGGTAAAGTGCTATCAGCTTGCATAATGCTGTTTATTGGTACTGTATATTCGGTTCTTCGGCCATCAAGCGGTCTGCCTCATGCAATAACAGCTTTTGCCTGAATTCGGTGTGTTCAGCAACAATACGCTCTATCCAACTGTCTCCAACAGTCACCACCTCCCTGCTCACCGGTTGATGTTTTACACTTAATTACCTCGAGCTCATGATCCACGAACAGAGTACCTTGCCACAACAGTTAGTAATATCCGAAGGGACTCAGCTGACCAACAGAAAGTTCAAAGACTGGTGAATTCCTTTCTTAAGACGACAAGTCTGACAACCATAATCATTCTTTGGCGGTATCTGACCCCTAATGGACGTCAAGTCTAATTATCCGCTTACGAATTATCCACACACCCATCTAGGTTGAAGATACTCCAACTCCGGTCTTCAAAATTGGAACGCCGGCGTCGGGCTCTGTTCCAGCCGCCTCGGCCTCTGGCGTCAAGTCGAAGCACCTTAGACTACGTGCACAGATTGATGACCACATGTTGGAAATCAAAATAAAGCAGGCAAAGGAATTGTTGCAGCGGGGTTATCCCCTTTCTGTTGTCGTACGCCTGTCCCACAGGGATATCGATCGCGCCGGACAGCTGGACGACGCAGAAAAAGATAGGCTGAAAAAGGTAAGTCGCCTTCCCATTCACCTATCTCCGCCCTGTCATCGTCAAGTTAATTACCTATTCACGTATACCGGCAGTCTCTACCCGATCATAGAAAAATAGTGACCGACCTCGCACAAAACGTTTTTTCTACTTATTGTCGTTAGGTATTGACATCCAGACTTCCAGACTCACTTTCTAACCTTTAACTACGCCGTCACTTTCGAAATTGCATCGCATGAATTGAGAAAAAGGGGATGTCATCACTGGAACAAAAGTGTTATTCGTTTGACGTTTCGGACTCGAACCAATCATCAGAGACAACGGCAGATAAGGGTGATGCACACGCAAGGGGTACTGTACTTATAGGGCGCTGTTACTATGCTACCACACAATTGTCACACTTAACCACCTCCTCATTCGTCGACTGTGGCCTTACTCGGTGCGACGATTGCTTGACTGTCCGTACACGATTCGCGAGCTGCTGTAATTTATTCGCCAGTTTTTTTCATTGGCCTGATAATTATTCCGTAATTTGGCATATTATACTATCAGAGATGACGACAGCTGAACAGGTGGCAGTTACAGGCATCTATAACCTATCATCGACCGATGCCGCATGTGTGAAGATGGCTGTGCAGGGACACAGGAAGCGCGGAATCGGTCCACCACTTCCTGTCTAAACAGCTGTCAGGATGACAACTGCGAGTGCTAAAGCATAAAACCTTCTAAACCGCGGATGCCGACCCACCAGACTTCAGTGCAGCCCTGAAAGCCGTACTTGTGAGAGCCGGGGGAACCGATGACAACAAAAACTCTGTCCGACAGGATAGCGAAAAAGAGTGCAGCGAGTGTATCTGGGAGTACCTGGCGTTGGTGTGCTGGGTGCAGTGCGATGGACTCGCAGGTGACCGACCAGGCCAATGCGCGGGATGACTGTGCGATCGCAATTAGGACAGGTTGGAACTGAGTCCACACCGCTGGAGGTGAGGATAGTGATGATGAGGGTGGTGGTTGTCGGGTCTTCGGGAGCGTCTTGAATGATGACGGAAGTGGGAGTAGGGGTTGTGGTGGTTGGCTCCAACACAAATCTGCTATCCTAGCATAGTAAGCTTCTCGCCTCACTTCAGACCTGTCGCGGCAGCATAACTAGTAGACAGACCCTAGCCTGTACGACGCTCGGACCCGGTCCCGAATAGAAAGGGAAGTTGCGCGCCAGTAGATAAAACATTGTGTTTTGTGCAGAATGAATGTAGAACACGTCGGAACAGGCTGGCGGCCAGACGAGGACACACGCCCGGCCTCTCCGTTGGAAAGGCTTGTGCGAGGGCAGGTCTTATTCGGTCTTAAAGTCGGTTAGCCGCTGTAATTGGCCCATAACCAGGCTGCCATTGGGACGCGCGAGGCGCAGTGTTGCAACAAGCGCCCAGAGTAGGGTCATTACAGATCAGAAAACTCGGACGGACGAAACGATTGTTTCTTCCGGTGTCAAGGCACCAACACCCAGGCCATATAAATTGGCACGCGAATTTTTGCGCCAGAAACTAGAAGGTGCATGCAATTAAATCATAGCCCACTCAAGGTGGATCATCCCATGAGACTTTCGAATTAGGCCTCAAAACATTTACTATGCTGAATAAGCCTGTGATCAGACCAAAATAATTCCAGTGGGATCTCCGATCCTCTGTTTAGTAACTAAACTAGCCCAACAGGAGCTAGCGAAAACCGCCTTCAGCCTGCGTGAACCGATCTGGCGTTGTTACGTCGAGGCCACGTCCGTCAACGTCAGAAATAGCGTGCTATGAGTGGAAGGGGGCAACAGCTACTCTTTCTCGATGCGTTCACCAGGCAACCCATTGGCGAAAAACAGACACAACGGTTTACGGGAAGGCGGCAAACACTGTAACACTTGTCAGCCTTTACGGCAATCATCCGGTGGCCCGCAGGCGAAACTGTGTGAACGCTCTCCGAACGGATTCGGATTTGCGAGTCGACTGCTTCGCGAATCGTGCTGGAGTCTGTCTCGACTTTATGCTGTGAACCTGTTTATAGTATGTGGTGTTGGTGTCGCTCCGCCGGCGAGGTCGATTACCATAGTCCGCCGAAATGCGTCACCGGCAAAACATAAAAGCTCATCGGAAATTTCGCGATGTGGGGTCACTGCCCACTGCGAATAGATGTTGTATGCGAAAATCCATAACCGTTTACGAGGTTCGTAACCTTTTATTTGAGTCGCGCCCGTTAAATGCTGCGTCATGTATTGGTGACTGTCCTCATTTTCCTCCCTAGTATCACATGCGGTCTCTAAAATTTGTGTGGCAGACGGTCTGTGGCTCCCCTAATCCGTAACTTAAAGACGGTGACTATCCGGACGAGAAAGCAATGGTGACTACTGAAAATATGGTGACTCCCCGCCATGAAAGAAACTCTAGCACAAGCCCACCTAGTATAAAGATACTTAGGCTTTTCGTCACTCCCCAGTAGACCGTGAACACAAGAATTACTTTGATGGTGGAACCCATTTACCCCATCAGCAGTCAGTCGGTGTGGACTGCAGGATGCATTAATACATATTATTAATACATTATTAATAGGCTTTGGCACAGTTAACTCGCAAGCCACTTTGAACGCACACTCTAACGGTCCTGCAGCCAGTGAATGTTGGGTAGGCCGAGCCAAACATGCGACACTACCATGGCACATTGATTGTGTTACGGAACTGCACATTGAACGCAAAGCACTTTTGGTGGCATCTTAGATCGCATTGCAAAATCTCTTGACAGACCGCCTTCCTTCATGGGAAGAATTTATCGTCCTTTTGGCCGTCAGGACAGTTCGAATTTACTGTAAGGCGCTTCCGCGCACTCGGCCCGCGACATTGATAGGAGTTGGAGTCTTTGATAACTCACGCATCGGTCGTACTCCCACAGACTCATGAGGACGAGTCGTGTCAGGGCTGGCAATACCCCACGGGCAAACGTTTATTGAAGCAGGAAGAGAAGCCATAATTCTCGTCATGACTTTCAGTTCAAGGACAAGTTAAGCTCTAGTCAACAGATCATCGTCTATTAATTTTGGTACCTGGGTACATTTGGTCGACTTTTAATTGTATCTTTAACAGGAGAATTTTGCCATTGACAAAGCTTCTTAGGACTTAGTCAATATTTCTATTTTTGAAAGCTCCTGTACGACAAAAACAAACAAAGATTCCTTCAAGCCTTCAAAAGCTGCAGCACCCGGCCGCCGAAAATAATCAATACGGCTGACTACAAGGAATTCACGATCCTCTTCTCCTCGGGATCCTAGCATTTGACGACAACCTGTTGCCTTTTCCTTTCAGACAGCGCCAAGTGCATTTCAACAATACTACCTTCTAGTTTTCCTTTTCCGTGCATGTTGCAGTTGCTACTAAGAACCGTCTTTTGTATGAGCTACGGACGGACCCGTGGTCAACATTATTTTCTATGGTGATTTCGATTTCCCAGTTGCTTTTAGGTCAGTAATTTTTTGTACATATGAAGTATGCCCTTTAAGCTCGGTAGAGTAACTAATGATCCCTTGGTGATACTAATCGTTGTCTTAGATCTGCCTTCTGGTTTCTTATTTGGGTGGCTTCAAACTTCCTTAATAACTCGAAGTAACGTCTAAAGAGGGTTGTCGTATGAAAAGCCGCGATTCTAGCTGGCGGGCATTACGTCGACACTTACAAGGAAATCCAGCTTCAAATTGGCTTTACTTGCAGACATTTCGCGCAAACTTCCCTTATAATTACTGAAAAGACATTGCTAACAGGAAAAAAATACATTCGCATAAGAGTAGAGAAGCCTATTTAGGAGTCTTTCCAGCTCGTGGACGTGGCTTCGTAAGTGGACTCAACCGGCCAACAGCATAATCATCTGGCCTGAAAACCGAAAGGTAGATGCAATTAGGACTTGCGTTCTGATAAAAGGACATGATCACACAACAACTTTAATGGTGCTTACAAATTTAAATAGTATAGCGTGAGGCCTAATTCGTCAGTTGGTGAACCAGTCACCACGGAATAGCTTGTCACAAGGCAAGTGGAGTGGCTATAAGAGATTTTCCAAAAATTCCGTGGAGTCGTCAGTTTGCTGTCTAGTCTCGGAAAGGAGTCTTGAGGTCGGAGGCGGACTATTTGGTGCCACCGTCCCGGCTTTCTAGGTAATTTCTTGCATTTAGCCCAGATTTCTAAGTTTGCCGACCAAGTCAATTCTATATTTCAGGATAAATTATTGCCCAACACTTATCCTTTAATACCATAGTTTTCCTAGTTACCGCGACATTAGTTCTTGTTTGGATGGCCAATCTAGGGGTCAGAGTATTGTTTGTATCGATTAAGGTTATGTTGTTCATGAGCGCACTCACACAGGCTTCAGAACCACGTTCCTACAGCAGGCGCACCAAATAAAATGAGAAGGGACTATAATGAACGTAAGTACGCTGGTGAACATACCAATCAAACAGCTTAGGATAATTCTCTATTTCTTCCGCTGTGTAGGAGTCCAGACGTTTGGGGACGGGCATGACCTGGCGGATCACGCCAGAAACGTTTTTCAACAGCTCCTCTGGCACGGTCTGAAAGGAAATATGCGGAAAGACGACTTTAGAGAATTGGTGCCCTGCTGCTATTGCGATATGGGTGACATGAGATGCACGAGAATGAGCCAGCAATGAGACAACAAGGTGTGCTCCCACACGTCCTCGCACATAGTCGACAACTAGGTCGACCGTGGTTCACCGCCTAGAGGCCTATGAAGTTGCTCACTACTGCCCGAGTATGCAGGAGAAAGATGAGGCTTTTTGGAATAACACCGAGTTGTACTAGTGCATTTTTAAAGCTGGTGACACCAAAATGTCGTCAGATAATGCGACCGAAGATCTCAACTAGGAAGCTAGAAATGGGTGACCCCATAGGAGCTCCAGTTTGCTAGTCGTTCCCAGCCAGCTGCAAATAAACAGGCACTGTGTTGTACGTGACTGCAATCCTGACGGTATCATTGTACTATATCCGGTGAAAAAAGCAAGCCTTAAATGAGACAAAGGTACTACGTGCAACGTGAAGATAATAAACTTTGGGTACGACCGCAGGAAAATCGTAAGGTTCAATGACTCACTTCAATACCATCGGGGAAAATGTGAAGGCGTGCGAGCCAGTCGGGTCTGGCTACACGGTTGGGCAGATGGACACGAATTTCCCGTCTGATCACCTAAAACATGGTAATGTAATTTGCAATTTTTATGGAAAACACCGTTTGCGAATTCACGCTTTGTATCTGGACCTTCATTATCTCTAAAGAGAAATGTCTACCGGAAATATAGTCGCTAGCAGTCTGCAAATTAGGCCCCACAGAGTATTTTTGCAAAGTGCATTATCTAGTTCTTGTTGGTGAAAACTACATCAGGCAAGTAATCACAGGACAGATCAACAAAATTATTCATTCATTGGCAAAGTCGAGGAAACCGCTCTTAGAGAACATTCTTTTGACTGCGTGAAGATTTGACGTCTGAAATTAGCTCAAAACCCTACGGGAAAGCATGCGTATATTCATGCAAAGCATTCGCCTCAGGATTTTTGCAGCCATAGGGGAAATAGATACTCAACCAAACGCAAGCATTACTCGCGTCTGCACCAGCTTGACTAGAAGTAGTTTAAAAATCCCGAATGGAGATAGACTACTTTTCCTACACTTATTTGACGGCGACGCTGGCGATTATCAGCGCAAGGAGGAACTTACAGGGTCATGGAGTAGCAGGTAAACCTAAGCAGCTATTTGGACCGCGAAAATGCACATACGGGCACAGACAGCGCGATGCGACTCTTGATTTCACGCCAAGAGCCTCAGGACAGGGAAATAGAAGACGATATATTGACTACTCGGAGGCTCCGTGGAAACTAACAGCAGCAGAGATAAGAATCCAAGTCTCACAGCAAGAGGATATACGTCCAGCCGAACAATAGTTTCGGAACAGTAAATAATGCACAAGAATAATATCCTAAGACCTGAAAACAATGGTTTTATTAGTTTAACCATCCATTGAAACAGAGGCAGGGGCGGTTCTGATGCGTTCGGTGGTAGTTTTGTCGGCACATCCATAGACATCTCCTGATTAAGACCGATACGACTTTTAAAAAAGAACTGCTCTTCTGAATCGAGATATACGCCATCTATTAGAGCCTCAGCGCACGTGCGCATTCTGTACAAAATGCAGCAGACATCGACAAACCGGCATGTTATATAAGTGTTAGGTAATAAGAAGTCCTGTAGGACAAGGGACTAACTTCGGTCGGGTCGCGTTTGTGCAACTCAGCCATGGTGTCTTCAACACGGAAGGGGCCAAACCTGGAAAACCAAAAATAAACACGTTATCCAGAAATGTACCGTGTGTGCGTGGTGTATAGGAAACGTCTCCAGTACGAACTGTTGTCTTTTGCAGCAATGTTTCGGCTGTTAAAAACTATGACACTGTCGCCGACGTCGCCTCTTGGGTCGTAGATACGCTTATGCGTCCCCTTGAGATAAGCTGCAATTTTCTCCCCGGACAACATGGGGCACTGCATATATGCATCATAAAGATACCACTGGCGCGCAAAGGTCCGCCATTTCTATAAGGTAAGTATCAAAAACAAGGTAGACAAACCTGGACTCGGAAGAAGGACATCACACCCGTCAAGGTGGAACAGCGCCACTAAGTCAGTTAATCATCACATTTGCCGCTGATATTACAGCGTATTAAAACCGTTATCGTTGTTAAGGCAGTAGTGGACTGTACTTATTCGAGAAGTCGAACAATTTGACGCCAATTTCCAATTGAGATTTGAAAAAAATATGAAAGATTGCAATGTAATGAACCGTTGAAGCTAAGGGCTATAACAAAGCGGAGAGACGGTGGCACGTAAGCTGAACAATATCGTGACAGACCATAGCGTCCACAGATGTCGAGAATAGCACACACAGAGTCAGCGAAACACTGAAATGAATCCTGGCCTAGATTGAGTTTAAGATTTGTTAAACCTTTTGTCATTTTCATCTGGGATATGAGAATGGGAACGTTAAACAGTACAAAATATGCCATGGTAGAGGGGCGCCCACCGATACTTCATACGGAGCGAGTGAATTCCGGAAGGACGATCGGTGAGCGTCCCCTCTACCATTGTATATTCCCCATCGAAATCCATAGGACAACGAACCTGTGATTCAGTGATTTTTGGTGTTTTACTTCTAGCTATCAGGTCGCGGGATCTAGCCCCAGGTATTCCACACTTCGGAGTTTGGCATGGCTGTCTGACGACGGCTAAGGAGCCAGGAATGGCCATCTCGGTCTTCCTTATCTTCTTCGATAATAACATTCGCTCAATGCGAAATATATTGAATCAATGACGTGGTGTGCATTCCAAGGTGACATAATGAATTCAAGTAGGTCGAAGAATGACAAATAGTATGTGGAGAGATGAGAGGCGCAGCAGGCAGGATGATCCGTCTGGGTAGAAATGTGACGTCAACGTGTCCGCTTAACAAACGGCGGGGATTGCTATGCTGTGAGCAACTGCAGGCAGGGCCGTGAGAGGTGCCAAAGTAAAGATAGAGAAAAAGGTAGACGTAGAGGTTGAAGGGTGCCGGCTATTTCTGCCGACTCGGTGTAACACCATGTCTGCCCTAGATCCCACGCCGAAAGCGTTCCCAACATTCAAAAACTCTACGCACTTCCTGACCTGTTATTTAACCATCAGATTTAATAGACTAGAATAGGTTTATTATGGCACCTATTGAGTGAATTGTTAAAGCAAGGTGAAAGACAGCACTAAGGCATAGACCCTGGATGAGAACACTGTGATGGAATGCCAGTAACGGTGTTGGTGTCACTCCGAATTAATCGTTCCACCGACTGCTTCTCTCTCATACACATACGCACAGCCAGAATCCCCATGTAATCTTCTGTAGTTTTCTCCAGCGCTGAATTCGTCACCGGCAATCTAACAGAGGTGACAGAACGCTCCCCATTCCACATGGAGTATTACGTACGTAGCACTCTCTCTCATTTTCTACTGTACCCTTATTTCATGGTTATACGCCTATTGGCATCGTATAGTTTTCATGCATGCTGACTTTTTGTTCACATATCACCTGCATGTTTACCTTCAGCGTGGCGCCAACAATTCTGTTCAGCATTCCGACGGACTGCGAAACGAGCTCAGGTGCTCGCTTATCCGTGTGTTCACTAAGTAAGAGAATTCAGCCGCTGCAGTATGACATCCACAGGCGAGAACGCAAGTTTTAAACGAGAAGCTGTGGGAATACGAAGGTCAAGACGAACAAATAGAAATGTGGGCTGGAAACTGAAAACGGGTAAAACTACCAAAATAGGGTTAAATTGAGAAAACAACCATGGGTCATTTCGACCTTTCCTACGATATTGTCCATCGTATGCCTTGCGGCCTGATGGGCGCCAGATGGTGACCTGCGTGCGAATCACTGCATAGTGATAGAAGGCTTGCGTTTCATCTGTCGCACTCCCTTCTCCCCCACCGTCCTAGACTCGGTGAGAAGGCAGTGTCAAAACGAACGGGTTCGGGCTCGCCAGCAGTGCCTGATATAACGAATGCGTCACAGAAGCAGTGAGGAAGTTCTGATACCAACTGAGTGTAATGCCATAGGCGGCATTTAATCCGATTCCCAGTCTAGCGGTAAGGCAGTCCGCACATGTGCAAGCGAAGGACTGACAGCAAGAATCGAATTATCGTGTTGTTTTTTGGTCTTCGAGGAAGAGACTATTGGCATATTGTGATAGATTCAAGGGCATCAGTGTCATTATTATGAAAGATGCGCTGTACTGCTATTGGGATGAAATCCCTGAGTCGGCCTCGCTCTCTCTTCCGTGTACTCGTGGACTAACAGAGTCCGCCAGTCATTTGGTGGCGGTACCGACCGCAGTGGCTGGTTGCTCACCCACGTGCGCAAAAAACATGACCTGTTGGCCATAAGACAGCAGGAACCATGTTTTGATGCAATTTTACCCAGGCAAAATTACCAGCCGTGCGGGGAGGGTGCGCGCGACCATTAATCACTGTGACAGCGATCAAGATGGCCGAATACTTTTTACGCCAAGAAACGTCAGCGTGGGTGAAAGCCCGGCAAATACCGACTGGGGTACGGACCAGCAGTCAGTAATCGCATCAACTACGACCACCAGCGATGAGCGTAAGTGCTGCCAGACATGAGGATTGTTGTTGTATGGCAACTACACTCTTTAAATAATGTTGACCTTGTGCCCTACTTATCATTTTCCATAACTGTCAGTGATGACGGTTTTGAGCGTAAGGCCGAAATGTCGGCTCAGAAAACTTCTTATTCGATCGGTCGCATCTTTTTCTTCTGAATGGCCTCCGGTTTGGTGGTGCATGGGCTGAGAGGTGAGAGCGATAGGGTTGAACCTGCAGCGGTTTACCGCAGATTTTCTTGCTATGATAGGACCCCCACAGGTCTTGAATAACAATAAGTATTAAAAAAATTATTATGTTGTTACTGGATGTCCGTGGGTCAAGGTGTGCGAGACGGGGACATGTCGATTATCGTGACACTGGTCCACCAGTCGCACTGTGATGGATTCAGAAGTGGCCGACCGGGCCGATACGCCATGTACAGGTGTGACCACGATGGGGACGGATTGGAATCGAGTCCGAATTTTTGGTGCAAGAATAAGCTTTGGCATTGATGGTGGGGATTGTGGTAAATGATAGGGCGTTGGTAGAGCCCCCACCGGTGGTGGGGATGGTCGTCCTTGGCGTCGACATGGCGCTTGTTTCTCTCATGATGAAGAGGATGATAACAGATCATCGAGAGCTTGCTCGCCATTGGCGACAGTCATAAACGTCGTGGCAACAGTGGTGCAGATGTAATCTGTATCCGACCGCAGCTCTTCGGGTTGCCTTCTTGACTTCTGTTCCGGTCTTCAATGTTCTCCATGTCCGACTATTCTGGGCGAGTTCCCGATGTCCTTGTGGTGTTATTGCTGATCTGACTATTGACCAACGTGTGCGTAAATGTTGTCTCAGAATAGCTGCTCGGGTGAGCGCTCGTAGTCCATATGCATGACAGCCGCCCCATCGTAGTCAGATTTGCTTCAGTGTAATTTCGATGTTGAGGATTCCAGGCTGTTTAAGGACTTCCCTGTTTGAGGTTTATTTTGCCACCACGGCTGCAGTGTCCTGTGTAGGCAGCTACGTTCGAATGGTCGGGCTTCAAAGCCTGGTTCACGTACATTGTCCAGGTTTCTGTCCCATGTAAAAATAATAATGATTTTTATTCAAGAGCCGTGGGGGTCCGTTTATAGCAAGTAAGAATAACTTTTGCACGATTTTTAGAACAATATGTATAATCTATACAATACTTAATTCATTGTTTCGAATAAGTATTGTGTTACGAAGAATAATGAGCAAGCAGTGAAAAAAACTCCTTACCTATATAAATGATTATTACTACATTAAATCTAAAGAAAAAAAATTGTGGCTCCTGAATGTATAAAAAACAGACAGAACCGGCTTGTATGTGGCAGTATATAACGGATTTCATGAAGGGGTAAGTAGGAGTGTCAGGCAGGACTGGCCTGTATGTGGTATTGAGTAAAAAGTTCGCGACGGGTATCATCAATGAAGAATTCATATGCCGGATAAGGTCTTTCATGTCGAAGTGACGAGTAGAAAACCAGTCTCGAGGCGATAGGAACCCAAATGCGATCGGTTACAGTCAGTTTCCAGTCTATCCGAGGGTGGGGGGGGGCAAGAGGGATGCGACCAAATAATTAGTATATGGCAAATACGGAGGATTCCGCCAAGAGCGTCGATAGAGCATATCCTGTGAGGGGCGCGAAACATGAACTGAAAAATCGAACAAATTAACATTTCTGATGAGGGATCCCAGGAAGCGATACTGCGCAAAAAAGAAGGAAATTTGAACGGATACAGAAATTTGATGGTGGCGTCCTATATTTCCCTTGGCCCTTTCTCGGCGTCATAGAAAACTTTGTCCGGGGAGGATGAGAAAAATAAAAGTTTAATCGAATCAGTATTTAGATAAAGGTGCAGCCTTCTCTTAAAATGTCTACAATATCTAAAGGTCTCATATTTATGGGGGGGGGGGGTTATTCCCGAGGAAAGTTTACCTGGAAGCGAAAAAAGAGAACGCTTAGAGGTGGAGGAAGCGAGAGGAATCATAATCAAGGAAGCACTGCGAAGATTATGTGAACGGCTGCTGGGCGTAAGTGCTGAAATCCGAGGAAGATTTGAACTATTATTAATGCGAAAGTAGAGACAGAAGCCTGCTTCTAGTCTTCGAACCCGCAAAAATATAGGTTAGTTAGCCGGCATCTAACCAAGTAGGAGATGTCTTTAAGTTTTCAAGTCAAACGTCTTTGAATATTTTCAATTTTTTAACGACGAGCCTCGTTCATCGAAGCAAAGAATGCGCCACAATACTCGAGAATGGGGAATACAGGCATACGATAGAGCCTTAATTTAATTTTAAAACAGGGAAAGTGTAAGAAATAAAGCCACAAGTCTTGGCAGCTTTGGCTGTAATTCTGTCAGCGTGTGACGAGAGACCAAGATTACTAGTGTAGCTTAAATCTTAATCCTTGATGGTGGTACATTCAGTCATAGGTGTTCC